AAAAAAAAAAAAAAGGACATCACTCTAGATACTATAGACAAACTTATAGTAGTAGTATAAAATATATATATATATATATGTATGTATGTGTGTGTGTGTATATATATATATACACACACACATCTATACACAATTTGGATTAAAAAAGGCAATTTTTGGGGCGCCTGGGTGGCGCAGTCAGTTAAGCGTCCGACTTCAGCCAGGTCACGATCTCGCGGTCCGTGAGTTCGAGCCCTGCGTCGGGCTCTGGGCTGATGGCTCAGAGCCTGGAGCCTGTTTCCGATTCTGTGTCTCCCTCTCTCTCTGCCCCTCCCCCGTTCATGCTCTGTCTCTCTCTGTCCCAAAAATAAATAAACGTTGAAAAAAAAATTTAAAAAAGGCAATTTTTAATAAAAATATGACTTGCCAAAGTACTGAAGAGGAAATAGAAACCAACATAAATATTAGAGATACCGACTCTGTGGTCAAAACCCTTCCAACAGGAGAGCTCCACTCCCAGAAAGCCTCACTGGATTTTTCTGCCATATATTTGGTAATAGATAATTTCTGTAGCACCCAAAATCTCCCAGCAAATAAAAGAAGAAGAATGCCCTCAATATATTTAAGAAGCTGGTATAATAACCTTGATATTAATCTGGCAAGGGAAGAAAGGAAATATAGTCAATCTCATTCATGATGACAGAGGAAAAGAAGTTCCCAACCAAAATGTTAGCAAGCTATGTCCCACAACATATAAAAAGGATAACACATTGTCATCAAATTGAGCTGCTCTCTGAAATTTAAGACTGATTTAATATTACAAATCAGTTATAATTCATCAAATTAGCAGTCCAAAGGAAGAAAGCAATATGATTATATCAGTAAATGTAAAAAGACACTTGATAAAATGTAACATCCTTTTATGATTAGTAGGATAAAAACACTAGAAAAATATAAAGAGACAAGAACTTCCTTAATAAAAACCTAGAGCAAGCATAATACGTAGTGCTGTAATTTTAAGGATGTTTGCATTACTCTGTCCAACATTTCACTAAAGATTTAGCCAAGGCAGGAAGGCAATAATGAGAAACAAAACAAAACACAACAATAAAATAAAATAAAATAAAATAAAATAAAATAAAATAAATGGCAAAGAAGAAACCAAAACTCTCAGAATTTGTGGTTTACTTGATTGTGTGCACAAAAAATTAAAAAAAAATCTACAGATAAATTTACTAAAATAAATGAGTTTAGCATGTTTGCTGAGTATAAATCAAACCACACACATAAAGTACACTTTTTCATATGAGCCACACACAAAAAGTGAAATTAAAACAGGAAATTTATGTGCTATCAATAAGTATGAATTTTTTAGGACTAAATCTAAAGAAAGCATACAAGACCTTTCCAGAGAAAATTATAATGCTTAGTGAATGACATAGACTGGAGGTCTTCTTATATGACCACAGATGTACCCCATCCCCCCCACACCAGATATCTCCTGCTTTGATAGCTCTGATGTTTCACTGCCATGGTCTCCTCGAGCATCTTTATCCACACAGTAAAAATGTCTTGAAGTCTAATCATGTACCAGTAACTGTCAGCCATAGAGATGCAAAGATAATTTCACGGACTCCTTATTTACCATTTGCTCCCATATGTCTACATTTTGAGATTTGAGGTAATACTAGAACATACTTACAGATAAGAATGGCATAGAAAATTAACTACAAGGCATTCAATTTCCATAAAAATCTGTTTTTCTCTTAACATTAATTCTTTTAAAGTTTATTGCAGAGCGCGACATGGGGCTCCATCTCATGAACCATGAGATCGTGACCTGAGCTGAAATCAAGAGTTGGTCCTTAACCAACTGAGCCACCCAGGTTCCCCAATATTAACCTTTTTTTTTAATTTTTTTAAACATTTATTCATTTCTGAGAGAGAGAGCGCGAGCTGGGGAGGAGCAGAGAGAGAGGGAGACACAGAATCCGAAGCAGGCTCCAGGCTCTGAGCTGTCAGCACAGAGACAGACGCAGGGCTCGAACTCACAAACTGTGAGATCATGACCTGAGCTGAAGTCAGATGCTTAACGGACTGAGCCACTCAGGCGCCTCCCGCCCAGTATTAATCTTAGTATTAAAACTTGAGAAGCACAAAGTGCTCTTCACCTCCAGATCCCCATACACTAGGTTGGAAGGTTCTGAAATTCTTAACTACAAGATGTCAACTACCTTTTGATGCATCAGAAACGTGAAGCCCAGTCACAGACACAAATCAAAAACATTACACAAGGCAGAGGCTCTCTGAAAATACGCATGCAATCTTTGACCCCTTTTCGGAGTTTTGTTTTGTTTTGTTTTTTAATTGTTAACAACCTCATCATCTACCTACTTCTGTTCTTTTTATTAAAGACAGCGTGCTTGAGTGTGTCTTTCCCCTTGAACCATACTAAAACTTGTTTCTTTTTCTTCCTCCACCCTTTTCCTCTCCTGCCTCCTCTCCAAATCTGCTGGTGTTTGTAACTCCTTTATTGTGGGTGTGGTTCTCTCCATCAGCCATGTGGGTAGTTGAACCAAACTCACCTCCCAGCCTCTCTGCTGCCTTGTCCGCCAGGAGACACTCCCAGGAATCCAGGTTGGTTGTGGGGTGTGGGGTCCAGGGGATATATGCAGCCAAGTCATAATCAGCACCTCCTCTCTTTCATTCCAGCATCCGATGGGCCCTCTGAATTTCCAACTCTCAGGTTTTGACCCTGACTTTGGAGGCTTTCTGGTTCACCGCACCACTGCAGCCAAGCTCCAAACTGCGGTGCACACTGTCTCTTTCTTGCCATCAAATTTTACCCTTTCTGTGTCCCATCTTTTGGGGTCCTGATATCTCTTTTCATTTAAATGACTCTAAGGTATTAGTAGGGACTCCAGCATCAAGATTAGACACGTGGCAGACATTTTTAGTTAGGCAGGGCTTTCCTCATCCCTGAAATCACGGGAGGAGGCTGTTTTTGTATTCCACTTTCATGGAGGCCTGGTGGTGGCAGTGCATTTGGCTGAAGCCCCCCTTTTCCCTCAATAAGCACAGCCATCCAGTCTGGTGCGGCAGCCAGAGACATCGCCTCTTGTGAACCGTCACCCCTTTTACGCAGTGCTCTTCTCTGGGCCCAAAGGTCACCATACAATGTGAGCATCCTAAAAAATAACAGTTCTTAAGAAAGTTAGTTTGTGACCAAAGCCGAGTGGTAATATGTGAAGACAGCAGGACTCCTGGGAACGGGCACGGACCAGGGCTCTGGTTCATCTAGGTTTGGATCTCAAATTGAGTCACTTAATTAACCGGGCAACTCTGAGCAAATTCTAAGCTTCCGCGTCTCAGTCCTATGACTATAATAGTCTAAGAGCACTTCCCCTACTCTGATACTGTGAGGCTATGAAGTGACAAAAATAAAGCCCTTGTCATAATGGCTGGGGTAGAGTGAATGGCAATCAAGTGTATGTGTTAGTATTGGCTGAGATTCCCTCCCTTCAGTGGCAACCAATCTTGAAGAGTAAATAGTATTGGTCCCATTTGGCAGATGAAGAAACTGAGGCTCAGGGAGATTAAGTAACTTTCCTAAGGTCAAACTAGCAAAAATGACATTTGGGACCCAAATTCAAGTCTTCTGACTTCTGCCACACAGTAATATTTTCACTATATCACATGACATAAGAAATTCTTTAGTTTTGGCATATTTATATTAACTGCTAATCTTCTCCAGCATATTTGTTTAATGTGTGGGTGTGTCACATCCCTTCATTTATTGTAGTGGCTTCAAATATTGCAATTACAGTATAACATGAGCTTCATCTTGACAAAAACCGTGACAGTTCCCTCATGGCTCACAGGAATTATTTCTAGCTCCCCGATAGTTTCACTAACATTTGTCTTTCAGGATCGTAGACCATCACAGACAAAAGCATGAAGTTAGAACTGAGAGATGGTCTTTACTTTTAGCTGACAATTAAAGACAAATCGCTAAGAGTTTAGGTGGTGCCATTTATTGACCCTACCATATTTACTGAGCACTGACTGATTGTCAGGCATTGCGCTAAGCATTTTTGTGAGGTTCAGTAGTGAATTAGATGGGTTTTTTTTCACCTCCACCTCAGGAACTAAATAACAAATTTGGAAAGAAGCTCTAACAATTTTTTTTTTCAACGTTTATTTATTTTTTTGGGACAGAGAGAGACAGAGCATGAATGGGGGAGGGGCAGAGAGAGAGGGAGACACAGAATCGGAAACAGGCTCCAGGCTCTGAGCCATCAGCCCAGAGCCTGACGCGGGGCTCGAACTCACCTACCGTGAGATCGTGACCTGGCTGAAGTCGGACGCTTAACCGACTGCGCCACCCAGGCGCCCCGAAGCTCTAACAATTTTAATTGAACCCCAGCTAGGTGGTAAAACCCCTCTTCGCTCCATATAAAATACAGATGTGCCTTAAAATGGAAATTGACACATATTAACATCGATAGGGAAAGATCTGTTTACTAATTGTGATTTCCGCAGATATTGCATCATGAAAAATGAGCAAAGATCCCTGCATTTGTGGAGTTTATTGCCTGTGGTGGGGGTGGGGTGGCAGGGAGGAAAGACACATGATAATAATAAATAATTATGATAATTATTATTATAGAATAATACACATGATAAATAATCAACAGTAAATAAATACCTTCTGTGGAATGTTAGAAAATGATACTGATACTGAGAAAAATAGAGCAGGACAGGATACATCAGGAGTCCAGGAATAGGGAGGTCTTGTAAATAGAATGGACAGGTGAAGCCTCATCCAGAAGAGGCCTTTGAGAAAGACCTGAAGGGAGGTGATAAAGTGAGGTGTGCAGGTCTCCGGGCAAAAAGCCTGGTGTCCCAGGCTAAGGAAAGCACTAAGACAGTGGTGCAAGTGGAGAAAGAGAGAGAGAAAGAGAAAGAGAGGAGGACACAAGGTCCCAGAGATGACAGAGAGTACAGGCATTTAGAGCCATGGCAATGACTTGCAATTTTACTGGAAGTGAAATGCAGAGATTATGCAAAGTTTTGAGCACAGAAATGCCCTAGAATAACATTTTTGTGTTCAACTGTATTCATTTAACAGAGGAACATTTTCCCAGGTCTTTTGTGTGTGTGTGTGAGGGGAAGTGGAAAAGGGACATTATCTTAATGTCTGCATACTAAATCCATCAGTGTATCTATTGGTGAATGTATTATTTATTTTTAGCTTTTTCTATTAATAATCTTGAGTTGAATATGTCAGTACATACTTTATTTTGGTGTCTGTCCTGTAGAATAGACTCCTATAAAGGGCATCCCTGGGTGACAGACATGCATGGATAAGAATCTTGAAAAGCATGCCTAGATGTAAATTTATACTCCCAGAAACAACATGCATTATATCACACATTGTTTTAATCAACAGAATAATACATCAGTTTTCCTAATTTAAGAGATCAACAAAATTCACTCATTCACTTACTTATCAGCCAAGATTTCGTAAGATCTACACTTCACACAAAAATCACTAGACACTTCAGAATGACACATGCCCGTATTCTTCACACACACTTGCATTTTCTTATCTTTTCTATTTCACTCCCCTTTACTTCATTATACCATTTTAATATTACTGATTGTATTTTATTTATTTTTATTTGAGAGAGAGAGAGGGAGAGAACGGAAGACAGAGGCAGAGGGGGAGAGAGAGAGAGAGAGAGAGAGAGAGAGAGAGAGAATCTTAAGCAGGCTCCATGCATGGAGCCTGACATGGGGCTTGATCCTACGATCCTGGGATCATGACCTGAGCCTAAATCAAGAGTTGGCCCTCAATCGGCTGAGCCACCCAGGTGCCCTAGACAACTGACTTTAAATATAAATGACCAGCATGCTTGGTTCAAGTCAGGATACCACCCCTCTGGCACTGGTTCTTTTATTCCGTTTCATGATGTGATGTTTGTGAACTGAAGCAGGGGCTCCATGGGAGCCTAACTCCCAGTATCTCCAGAAGGAAGGGTTTCCCAAGCAAATTAAGAGGGCAAACAGAAACCCAGAGGGAAAGTACACAAAATACCTTAGAAAAATTACTCTTATGCCTTTATTAAGATAACCTTATTAATTTGCTTTTTCAACTAAAGTAGCATTTTAACAATACAGCTACTTTTCTCTAGAAACACTATCATTTCCTATTTTCACCAAAGTCGGACTAGTCTTCTGTGAGCTTTGTAGCTTGGCTTCAATTATCTGGATATTTTTCCATGTTGATAGAACTAAAACTGCCTGAATGAGTCACATCTTTTTGTATAGTGTTAGACTAATTGAATGAATTCTGTGTTTTCTTGGATTTAAAAAAAAACGCCTTAATTATTCTTAATTATTTTCAAAACCCAGGTCTCAGAACAGAAAAGAGAAATGTCAATGTAACCAGTAATGATGCATTTACTCAAAAGGTCTGCACATGTTATCTTTAACTTAATATCAAAAATGTGTTGAAAATCGAACAGGGAGACTCTTAAGAATAAATAAACTTCCAGAGATTAATATAATATCATTTCCCAATTTAATATCGAGTGCTCAATGTCATGCGAACACTGCATTACTGGTTTGTGAGAATAACCCCATTTAACCACTGGAACAGTTCTGTGACAAAGCTTCTACTATAATCTGCATTTCACAGATGAGGAAGCCAAATCTTAGAGAGGCTTCAGTAATGTGCCCAATTCCATGCAGGTAGTAAGTGCTAGAGTGGAAACCTGAACCTGGGTTTTTCAAATGCCAGAGCACTGGGCTTTGGCTGCATTAAGACTCATTTAGATGTCATGGTCATAGAAGCAGAGGATTTGATGGAATATGAAAGATCACAGTGGACAAGAACATGGTTTGGTGCTAAGAGAAGCAAGTCAAATCTCAGCTCAGTTATTGACGAGCAATATAACCTTGGATTATATTATGTTAACCTCTGATCCATGATTTCTCATCTATAAAAGGGGCATAATTAAAAGATTATGTAAAATACTTCCTAGAGCTCTAAGCACCCACCATGCAGTAAATGATGGTAATTTGTGTTCAAAGTAACGTAGAAAAGATGTCCAGGTGCTTTGGTGGAAGAACAGAAATACTTGGGAGCTGAGGTGGTTACTGTCATGTATATTCTGGATGTACCTGAACTAAAGTCTAGATGCAGCAGAACGCAGCAACGTACCTGAGGTGTTTTGACCATCCAAACACATATACACGTAAGGCTTTGTTTTAGAAACAAAGAATTTAGGAATAAATACTTCAATAGGACGCATCTTACAGTCTTCACGTCTAAATACATATTCACGCAACACTAGCTTAGCAACAGTGATGTGATCTTTTTGCCTTACATTAAAATAGTCTTTTAGCAAACACCATTTGCAAGACATATGTCTTGAAAATTTTCCTGATAGCCCTCATTAGCAAAAAGAAAAAAAAAGGAGCTAAGCTATCATGCTGTCTTGTTTGATCCTCTTTTCTGAACAAGAAGATATCATTTTAAAGTGATTTATTGGGGCCTTGGTGAAGCTTGAGATTGTGAAACAGCTTTTTAAGGCCCGAAGATAATAAACCCTACAGTATGATTAAGTTCA